CGACTCACATTTTTCTCTTCCAGATTCTTGTGGTCACCACTAAACTCACACTGCTGTACATGATCCTCCACTCAACAACATACCTACTTGATGACCTAACTAGACGAAAATCCATCAACACCTGGTTGTTACACTGTCAATAAATATGATAGATGAAAAATGTTTCAACGTATGCTTTATTAAGCTGCGATCTATCTTATTTTTACTACTGGTTAATGACTGAAGTTGAAATGAAAATCTAAGCCACAGCAGGATTCGAAAAAGTCACCACCGGATTTCTGGCACGGTAGTCTACAATTAACCACCACCACCAACAACAACATGCACCAATCACCATCAACGGGTGAAACCTAAAGGAAGTAGTCTCTTTCATCCACCTAGGCAGCATCGTTTCAACTACAAGCAGCCAGGATAGGAAAGACAGAAAGACACGCCTTCCTGCATTAATCTGAAGTAATCAGTGTGGATATCTATTACACTACACTGTACTCAGCATAAGGAGTGATCAAGATCCAAATTTTCAACACTAATTCAGTCAAGTTGGTCAGTGATTCTATGTGATGGTTGAGAGACTTGACGGCACGACACGAAAACTATTTCCAACGAACTATACACACATCACATCAACAACTGCCGCCTACGCTCACTCAACACTGAAGATCAGATCAGATGGTGAGAAAGAATGAGCAACAAGGAACTGTTCACCCTGACTGGCAACGAACCAACTAAACAACCAACCAACCAAGAACCCATCACTCAACAAATATGCAGGAGAAGAAATTGGAGATGGATTGTGCTGTATTGCATTGTATTGTATTGGACATAGACTGAGAAGACCATGTGGGGACATCGTTGGACCAGGCACGGCCAGGCCAAGCCAGACCAGGCCGTTGAGTGGAATCTGAATCGGAAACGATGAGTTGTGTCCGAGGCAACAGTGACATGGAGATGATGTGAGTAAGAGATGAAAGCTTATGGGGAGTTGTGTAGCCAGGTTGAGAAGACTAGAGAGAAGAGAGTGAAATGGTGACGTGGTACTGAAGCCCTATGTTCCACTAGGAACCTAAAGGACAAACAATAAATAATAAATAATTCTACAGTTCGAGTTACATAACCCAACTGCCATGTGAATTCAAGATGCATTACTAACACTTGATTGTACTCACATTGGCTGGCAAGTTAAGATTTCTCATCTCAATCAGAGAGATAAGGAGGATCATACTAATTATCAGTTTGACTATGTGAGACAGCCATGGTTTAAGCGACTTATATTTTTCACAATAACCATAATTGCAAATAAGAAACAATGCTAGACGTTGGAAATCTGCAAGAAAAACAATGACCCAGTAATTCCTTTGATTCTCCTCTATCAGTTTTGCTAATAATTACTCTTTTTGGTATTGGTAATAGACAGGAATTTGAGCACACTTTCGGAATACTCAATGTCTGTCTTCACTCACAAAACTTCGTGTATCCAGCTTTATGTTTACTGTTATAGGTGGGAAAATATAGTTTTATTTAATCATTCTGATTGATCGGCTTGTAATCGGGTGAACTGCTAGCTATCTTGGAACTAGTTACTAATCTTAGTGACTGTTTTTATTAGGGTTTATTTTATGCTGGTGTTATGACCTCGCATGCACCTCAACCCAGCCCCTCATTAAGTAATCAAAGGAATTATTTGAATCAAATTTTCAATCGATAGGATTTATTTCGATAAAATTTCATAACTTATATAAATGTTGCAATGACTATTATTATTATTATTATTATTTGCCCATAAAGTTCCTAGTGGAACATAGGGCTTCAGTTGAACATCACAATTTCACTCTCTTCTCTACAGTCTTCTCAATCTACCTACACCAATCCCCACAAGCTTTCATCTCTTCCTCACATCATCTCCTCTACGTCACCCTCATCCTCACCTCAAACACCCAACTCGTCCTTTCCCATTTGCGTTCCACACAACGGACTCGTCTGGTCTGGTCTGGTTGCGTCATGTCCCCACACAGTCTTCTCAGTCTATGTCCAATACAATACAATACAATACAATCCATCTACAATTTCTTCTCCTACATATTTGTTGAGTGATGGGCTCATTGTCGGTTGGTTCATCTCCAGCCACAGTGAGTTCCTTGTTGTTTATTCTTTCTCACCATCTCATATGATCTTCAGTATCCAGCATTATTTGTAGGTGAGTAGCGTAGCATAGCAACATATCATTGTGACTTTCCTTCCTCTTGACTTGAATCTTACTGTCATGATCCTGATCCTGCACGAAGAGATTCACTCGCACTGTATGACAGAGAGAGAGAGAGAGAGCCTTTGATGGTGTTGGGGACATCATGATAGTCACTCGAGAGAGAAGTGAGTGCGTTCGTGGTTGTCGTCTGTGTGATAATATGGGAGTAGATTATTGACTGCTGTCCATTTGACAGATTGGAGAGTCCACTTCCATTCCATCTGTGAATTCCTCGCAGATTCCAAGCACTTCCCTGCCATATCTCCTCATCTCTCTTGCAATCTGGGCAGCCTTCCTAGGTTTATACATGGTGTGAACATTCCATGCCCTCATGTTTACTTTCGCTTTTATTGAGAGAGAGGTGATACATCGGCCGATTGGCTTCTCGAAGCCCTTTTTCACCAACCTACTTCATTTCATCTCCCTGATTTATATTTTCTTTGTGCTTTAATGTTTATTTAGCGATTGGATTTGTTATGCAGGGTGGGGTTGCTATGCCTATGGCCACTCAACCTTCCCTCTTCATCTGGACTTAGAACCGGCTAGTAACTAGTGTACTAGTTAACCAGGTGAGGTTATTTCAATGACTATCATAAACTAAAATCAAAAAATAATAATCATTATCATCAATGTTTGATTTACTCATGCAAATTTGTTACCTACATTTTCAAATATTTTCATTAGCTTATGATTCTTTATCTTTCATTAGTTGATGAATGAACACTTTTATCACCTTGTTTCTATTTAATTTATGCTGAAAAATCTTTACCAATTTGTTTTATTCTTCTTTTCACTTTGATTAACTAAGGTGTTTTATTTGCTGGTTATCAATAAAAAGGGAGTGTATTTCATTTCAGATTTTCTAGCCTCCTTTAACACTAACCTGTTAGTCATTGTTATATTCTTTTTCTTATCAGTTTCTTTATTGAATAATATTTTTTTTTCTGAAAAATTGTATTTTATTACTATAATATTATAATTAGAAGAGAACAAATTAAATTAGGAAGTAACCAATTTTTCTGTTGTTCAAATCCTTGCCAAACCATTTACTCTTAAGTTTATCGGTTAGATGAGATCAAACAGTTCTTAGCAAGAGGGAAAACAAAATATATAAATATTAAAAAGGATCATAAAACAAAGAATTTTAACTTAAAAAGGTCAATAGTGTGAATTGTTTACTTGTATTTACATATATATATATATATATATATATATATATATATTATCATATACATATATATATATATATATATACATATATATACATATACATATATATATACATATATATATATATATGTGTATGTGTATGTGTATGTGTATATATGTGTATGTGTGTATGTGTTGTGTATATGTATGTGTATATGAACATTTTGAGAAGACTGTGGGTATCCTACAGGCAAAATTGAAGAAGCGCCTTACAACTTGGAAACCAATCAGAATGCTGTCTTGTGACCACAGTAAGGTCATTTCCCGCCATCTTAGTAGGCCATGTTTGGAAGACTGGTTTCATGCTAACGAGTTTTTCGTTGATTTATTAAAGTTGCAGACGTAGTTCACCTTCTCATGTTATGAATTTTACTCAATTATACCCCGTTTATGATACTGCCTTTGTTGGTTGCTTGTTTCGTTAACTGCTTTTGTTGTTTGTGAAGTTTTGGGGACGCAGGTCAGTTATAAAAAGAGTGTTTTTCGCATATTTGTTTGTTGAAATGTATTTCTTCATGTTATATTATTGGGTTAATGTAAATTTATCCTCGTTATGTTGTTCTTGTTATGTTAGAAGTTGGTTAATCGTTAAAGAAGCCGTGATGCTGCCTGTGGTGCCCCTGATCCCCGAATTATTTCAACGTTTACAGCCTTTATCTGGTTGTTTAGGAAGTTGGTGCAAATGTTAACACGTCCCGTTACTGTTTATTAACACTTCAGCTGAAAGTCCTCTAAGAGGAATGCTTTACCTATTCGTTTTCATAGCTTCATGGATTCTCAGCAATCTTCTACGAGTAGTGCTAGCCTGGCTAGTGCAACGTGTGTATATGTTTCTGCTGTGTTTGAGCAGATTATACGACCTAGACATTTTACTGTCTGGAGTCAAGTCGAAGAAGTGTCAAACACGTTTCAGAAAGTATGCTAAGAAGTCACTTAACTCGATGTTTAGATGACAAATACTCACTACGTTGTCAGGGAATGCAATCGATATAAGGAAGATGCTGATTTAAAGTACCACTATGTTGTTTTGGTATGTACTTTTGGTAACAGGAAAAAGTCGGAGGGCACTAAACAGCGAGTTAAGGGGTAATCTAAGAATTTGTTAAGATTAGCGTTTTAGATCGAAGTACATTGGTTGTCAATCTAGAATTAGAATACGTTATAATTTGAATGACTTTATTTTTCCAAGTGTCAAGATGGTACACAATCATCCATGTGATCTGAATTATCTTGCTAAAGACCTTTGGTCAAGACGATTAATGGAGGAGTAAATGAAGGTTGTTCGACCCATGCAGACAGTGGGGTCTGAACCGGATCGTGTTGTAAAGTATGTCAAAGATGTTATGTCGAAGTACATAGCTTATTACTACCTGAAGAATATCCGGAGGAAAATAACACCAAGTAACTTATTTCCTTAATAATTTTTATTCTGCAGGTTATGAATCTCAAGCAATTTCCGGAAGTTGTGTGTTTTTATTCAACGTATAATACAAACAAGGGGAAGTAAGTCTGTCGTGATAGCATTAACATGAAGCGTAGATATAAATTGTTTCAATTTATTGTGACGGACAGTTTCGGCAATAGTCGCCCAATTATGTTTGAGTGGAGTAAGCGAGAACAGAGAACAGATGTTACGTGGATGTTGGATGCCCTTAAGCGTATAATGGGTGAAACGTCGTCAATACGAACGTTTGTTATTGCTTGTGCTAGGGTATTGAAGGTGGCTATCAAGACTGTCTTCCCAAACGTGGATGTTGTCCTTTGTGCATTCCACGTTTGCAGAGCGATGTGCAAAAGGGTAAGTATTTCATATAAGTGTTTATATGCACCTAACTTAAAGACAAGGAATCCAACACCCAAACAGTATCTGTGCAGATTATTTCGAGAAGAATCAACCAGCAGGTAAGATGCAAACAGTAAACTGACGTCCAACGCAGGTTTTATGCATATAACCGCATCATCAACGCTATCAGTCTGGATATGGGGAGGTATTTAAGTTACATATGGATGAATTGTAAGCGACTTTGGTCCGCAGCATTCTACAATGATGTCCTGACATTGGGTAATAATGCTAATAGTCGAGTTGAAAGCCTCCGTAAGCAGATAAAAAGGAGGCTAAGAAAATGTGACAAGCTGCATATATCGATCTGGAAAGCGTATCAGTGGCATACTAGAAGAAGCGAAAGGAAGAAATTGGAAATGAAATTGCTGGGTTCTGAAAAATAAGGGTCTGCTGGACCTAAAAGGCTTCAAGCGATCCTTGACAAACTGAGTCCATATGCAGCAAGAAAGGTTGTGAGGGACTTTAAACGGCCGGCAGCAGTTTACATTGAAAACAAATTATCCGATTGGATTTTCTTTGTGAACGGTTACAGGAATCTGGTAGTTGATGTACATCAGGGGATGTGTTCCTGTAATTTTTAGAAGACCTGCCTGCTCCCTGTCGACACATGCCGATAGCTCACTTGCAATTCCGAAAATTTTACTGGTAAGTTGACGTATAGTACTTTACTAAATGTAGTCGCTTGCGTACTGCAAAATTGTCAACGATGAATTCGAAGTGAGCCGCGCATTACTATTCCTAACTCGGAGATCGAAAGCGTTCCATGGGAGATTGCTGACTACCGCCTTATGAAGCGCAGACTTAACAGGCGAATGTCTCAATTCAGGAGTGAAAATCGTTATATACAGGCCACAAACCTAATGAAGCGCTGCATCAGTTTAGCAGATGAGGGCGTGAACGCAGCCGACAGACAACAGCTCAACGATGAACCGTAGGCTGTTCGCCTATTCCAATCCTTAAAACCTGCCTACTTTTTAATCGTGACGTTTACGCCTCCCGCCGTTATAAGTATGGACGAGAGCCCTTACAGACAGGTAAATCCAATTCACTTACACTTAGATGGCAAAATGAATTGTACACGTAAACTTCACTGTACAAACACTGGATGATAAAAAGTAAAGTGATGTAAGTCTGTTTTCCTTTTAGAAATTGGATTTCATGTATACTTTTCATGCCCCATCTAACATGTTCACTTATTGTCTTCTGCTACAGGTAAACGACATTGAACTTGTCTACTGGATTGCCATTAATGTGTGACTGTTCGCACGGACATTTTTTATCATGTAAATTAGCACACTCTTTTACCTCATAATACAAGCTGTATTTCTTAATAATTGCTTTTGAGTACACTCTTGCGTTACTACGATCACATGTACATTGTTTCCGAAAACCATGGTATCAGTGCGTAGACAAGTTGTCATTCAGGCGCGAAAAATTGGAAAACTTCAAAATCACTCCATAGCTTCAGATTATTGAATTATTATCAATAATTCCGGAATCCGTAGGGGAGAAGTCTACAAGTTCACACTTTGTAAACATTTTCGGTTACATCTAGACTATCATAACAAGTAATTCGTTCACACTCATCTGCACAGGAGCGCACTTAACGAAGGAGTTTAACAATACTTACTTCCCATAGTTCCAGCATTATTCATAAGTATTAACGGAAGAAAACGCATTTTACTTCGTGTGAAAATATGTATCTAGGTACAAAGTATTCAACACATTTAGAGTGTCGTCCGAGTAAGTGTTCATCAGTCATTCCTCCAACATTCTTCTTTCTCAATCTTGCGTAGTAGGACAGTCATCCTGCAATGTAGAACGAAGGAAACATTTATAATTTCTGCGGTATATGTTTACATGTAGTCACACATATGCACAAAGTTCTTTAAAAAAGTTTGACTAACCAATGATCTCTCCGTATTTCGAAAACATACACCTGACATCTCAGGTGCAACCTATGCGCCTTACTACACAGATCCAGTGTATCAGTTAGCATTTCGAAAAATACATGATGACAGCGAAGTAAACTGTTTCTGAAATTGCCTCCATAAATTATACAACTAGTCATGCCACTTAGAATACACAAAGGGGAGCGTTATACAACTTCAGGTGCTGATTTACGCCCCCATTGCTATCCTGTGTGATTGCAGAGGATAACAGCTAGAAATAGTAGGGGAATAAGAAAAGAACTCTCAGGCACGCCATTTACCATTGGGAACCAGATGCAGAGCAGCCGACTCTTAATGACTGCTACCTAGTGTAAGGATAGTCTCCACGCCAACTTAGTCACTTTCGGTGCACACCCATAAGCTGATGTCCCTTATGCAGAATATCCTGATTCAACCTGTAAAAAACCTTTGAAAACTCAAGCAAACAAATATGAATGTGCTTCCTATGCTCAACAGACGTTGTTTCCGAATTCCTCGGCTAAAAAGTTTGTTGCCTCGGAGTAGGTGTGGAAAATCTGCAATCCCGTAGACTGAATGAACTAATAGTCTTCCATTCAGTCAGTAAGCATAAGAAAACCACTCACGTCGTATATGGTTATTGGTGCATACATGACCCAAGAAGAGTAAAACTTATCCGTTCTTCGTTTATTCACTGGACCAGTAAGTTTTACTCCTCTTGGGTGGTCAGGCACGCCCAACATAACACGGCATAAACGGTTCTCTTGGACTCAGTGTAGGAATTCAAAACATTCACAGTTTCCCTTTTCTTGCTTCAGTGTGAACATTCAGGAAATGTAACTGCAGCCGTCGTCTTTAAAAACTACAATTGATAGTTTCTGTGTGATTACACCCACAAATCACATTTATCTCTTTCTAAATTCCTTGTCATTATGTGGTTCTACGGAGTCATTATCATCACAAACTCTCTGCATTATCATACAAATACTTCGAAAGCTGACTTACTCTGATACGTCAACTACTTCAGGTATCTTCATCCTAAATGCTCAATGTCCTGATTATTTCTTAGCTACTCCTTGCTATTAGGTAAATGAGAGGCTAACAGAAGACCCACTACATCCCTTTGCAATACTTTATAGAGTAGCATACACACAATAATTCAATCAGGGAACACAAATGATCGGACACTCGCAAAATCTCATCCCCTATTTGACTGAAAATACATACAGTTGATTATTACAGACTGCCCACCATAATTCTGCATGATCAGTAATAACATAAAAAGGTAAATATGAGATACATATGTGTATATTAGTACACTTAACACTGGTGATAACCTAACATCTTCCTTTAACCTTCCAAATACATTTTTACTGCATGAAAAGCAAGTTATACTTTAACAACGAAAAATTTTACAGAATGGACCTTATTCATTCTCAATTCACATTATGATGGTTAACTTGCTAAACAGAGTGACTACACCACAAAACCTATAACAAGTCAGCTCACAGGCAGTAGGCTGACACTGACACGCCCAATGTAACGCAGTTAGACAGCTCGACATACTGCTTAGCAAATCTAGCCGTTAAGTGAAGAAAACCACAACAAACTCCAAAGCAATCTCGTTTTACAGAAAATTGGAACGAAATAATGACCAGTAATACAAGCTACGCAACATTAAGTTTACATGACAACATGCTGCTTACCGGCACTCTTTGAGAATGTTTGGGATGCGGTGCTCACCACCCAAATGCAAATCGCTGCTCCAAGATCGGTCTTCAACCGTGCCATGGCTAACAATACAGAGAGTAGTGGTTGAGTATGTCAACCACTTCACTTATATGGGAAGTGGGATTAGACCCAGTGGCTCAGTGACCGATGAAATTTCTGCAATGGATACAAAAGGCCCGATTGGCTTTCATCAACTTACGCCACCTATCGCGCAACCATCATATACGATTGTCTATTAAGGGTCACGTGTACTGCATTCTCTTCTACTCTATGGCTGTGAAACATGGCCAATGAAGGTGGAAGACATGAGAAGGTCTCAGGTGTTTGACCACCGTTGCCTTCGTAGCATAAGCCGTATTCCATGGTGTCACTACGTGAGTAACACAGACGTCAGGTGTAGAGTTTTAGGGAGTAGAGGTAAATCAGTTGATGAGGTTATGAACCTTGCTCGACTGAGATGGTTGGTACACGTATTACGTATGCCTAGTCGCCGATTGCCCCGTCACACAATGTTGACCGAAGTAAGCTTAGGCTGGAAAAAGGCTCAAGGTGGCCAGACTAAAACATGGCATCAATGTATGAGGTGTTTAACTGTTGGTTTGATCCATGTGCGACGATGCAGACTAGCTGGTTGGGGTCCACGGGACAAGAGGAACCAGTGATTGGAGACAGTAGGTGATATGGCCCAAAACTGATATGAGAGGCGCAGGTGCATGCACATATCCTAATCCTAACATTATACCAAATCTCACCATTTTCTCATTCTTCCCTTTTCTATTTTAGTAGTTCATATTTCTTTTGACCGAGTTTTTTTCTTCATCTTGCAGTTCACTACCTTTTTACTTGATGTAGTGATATGAGATATGGTAACTCGGACCGCTAGGTAGTAATGCCTGGTCCTATATTGATGATGGTGATATGTGCCTGTGTACATATTTATATATTTCAAGTCGATATTCACCATGGATTGATATCAGCTGACAAACCAATGGGAGCGATGGACAGCTGTTTTGGCCTAGCATGAAACCTCTTAGCAAGAAATTGCCATGACCCCGCCAGGGAACAAGCCTAGGGCTGTGAAGTCCCACGCCTAGTATGCCACCGTTGAACCACTGCGTCGTATTCCAGTAGTCCATATTTACTACTTCTGTCAGCTCACAATATGGCGTAACTATCATGCAATGTCATCGTTGAGTATTTGTCCTCACGTCCAACAGGTTTGCCCCACGCAGGATAGGGTCCTGGGGGTGCAGAGATGAGGAGTCTCATACTAGGAAAGATATCTGTCAATTGCTCCTAAGTTACCAATATTTCCCCGATTGACGCCAATTAGCGATTTTATTATTATTATTATTATTATTATTATTATTATTATTATTATTATTATTATTATTATTTGTCCTTTGGGTTCCTAGTGGAACATAGGGTTTCAGTTGAACGTCACAATTTCACTCTCTTCTCGCCAGTCTTCTCAATCTACCTACACCAATCCCCACAAGCTTTCATCTCTTCCTCACATCATCTCCCCTACGTCACCCTCATCCTCACCTCAAACACCCAACTCGTCCTTTCCCATTTGCGTTCCACACAACGGACTCGTCTGGTCTGGTCTGGTTGCGTCATGTCCCCACACGGTCTTCTCAGTCTATGTCCAATACAATACAATACAATACCATACAATCCATCTACAATTTCTTCTCCTACATATTTGTTGAGTGATGGGCTCATTGTCGGTTGGTTCATCTCCAGCCACAGTGAGTTCCTTGTTGTTTATTCTTTCTCACCATCTCATATGATCTTCAGTATCCAGCATTATTTGTAGGTGA